GATGTATATTTTAGTATATTAAAAGCACTTAGATAAACTTGAGAAAATTATTCGTTTTGATTTAGTTGAAATGCTTTTTGAACATATCTTATGTTAAATCGTCATAGGGCACCACAAAGGCTCATCTGTGCACCGAAATGAAAAGGGGGATTTAGATCAGTATTGCTATGTGATCAAGTTACCATGCAGCACGGCTGAATATCGAGGTTTCTGTTCAAGGATATAAAACGCGTGGAACGCGAAAGTGAGTGAATGATGACTTGCTGGTACTATGCCTACATACAAAGAAAGTAATAAATGGTGCAACGTGGGTTACAGGTGAAAAATGAAGATCGTCGAACACCTGCAAGAAAAGAGGTTGACTTCAAGTCTGGACGTGCTGTGATTTACCAAGCGAGGTCTAGTTCTCTTTGACAGGTTTCAAGGACATCCACTGTAATCTTCACTGCGTCGATGGATATCACATTGAAGAGGATTTCCTGTTTTTAGAAGCTTTACTGATAAATATTCGGGACAATATGACCTACAACTTTCAGAATGCATTACACATTCATCTTTACGCTGTTTAATATAATTTGAAAATTAACTCCTTCGTTTTACTACAGTAATTTTTAGTGAGTTAATTTTACTGCAGATGCTAACAGGGAAGTCCTAAACACGTACGCTCTGTTTTCCATTCTGTTAGTTTTGGAAAAATTAGTTCCAGTACCTTCGTCAAATGCGGTTGCAGGGAAGAATTTCATATAAACTTTGTTTTTCTTTTTCTCCAGGAAACTCTGCGGATCCGATATAGCCAAATATTTTCTGAACTGTTTGTCACAAGGAAGACAAATTTAGAAACGTTAAATATCTAAAGCTATGAATTTATTTTTCATTTGAACTTTTTGGAAAATTATAATTGAAGTATATCGTTGTTCTTGCAAGTCGCAAAAAATTTTCAGTGATAAAAGGAAATACGAAACTGGAAAACAATGGCTCAGCGGCAAGTCTTGGGGCTTACAACCCTAAATACCAGGTTTCGATACTTGCGTAGCTTTGTGTTTATCAGCAAAAAAACAAACTGAAAATTATGTTGGAATATATATATATATATATAAACAAGTTATGTATAAATGTGCTGTAAACAGTAACTTTTAAAAGAAATTATTTTTACTTTGTTGTTTAATTTTAAGTGTTGCACATTTTTTACATCTTACGCGATCTAGCCATCAATACCATTTCGATTTACCCTAGAACACTAATACAAATCGTTTAATATTAAGAATGATTTCTTACGTACAATATGAAGGAGGCCCATCAATTTTTCTCTTTCCTTCTTATCCTACAGCTAACTTTTTATCTAATGTTAGAACTATTTAACAATAAAGGATTCGGACGTACATCTTCCGAGAGGTATTGCTACTAATGCTACAGTTTCTCCTAAGGGATTCGGACGTACAACATCTTCCGAGAGGTGTTGCTACTAATGTTACAGTTTCTTCTAAGGGATTCGGACGTACAACATCTTCCGAGAGGTGTTGCTACTAATGTTACAGTTTCTTCTATGGGATTTGGACGTACAACATCTTCCGAGAGGTGTTGCTACTAATTTTACAGTTTCTCCTAAGGGATTCGGACGTACAACATCTTCCGAGAGGTGTTGCTACTAATGTTACAGTTTCTCTAAGGGATTCGGACGTACAACATCTTCCGAGAGGTGTTGCTACTAATGTTACAGTTTCTTCAAGTATATTTTCTGAATACACGGATAAAGTGGAAGAACAAATAACCTCTAATATCTAGACCACAACGCAGCAGGGATGACGATATTCGAGCAATACGGCAACACAGAGCGTCTCTTTGTTTCCTTGAATCAACAAGCCAACAGGCTGTGTGTGTGAACGAAGTGTTTTGTAAACTTGTTTTACATGCATGAAAGTCAGGACAGCATAGAAAATTATTCCGCAGTAGTTTAAGTCGCAAGAGATAAGAAAAACAAGTATATTGCTCTCAACTAATACAAGGCTTTTCAAATAACTCTGTATAATTATGTGCGCTGCGACAGCACTTCGAGTGTGAAACAGTAATATTATCACTATTCTCTTTTTTATACCTTTTTTATAACAGCAAGTTATTTAAGTACGAAATATCCCGTTAGTAAAAAGCTGAAAATAGAGGTAGTAACGAAGAATTACGTGTAGCCTTGTTACTCTCTGAAGCAAAAACCAGAGAGGTCAAAGGTTGGAAGTGATATTTTGACTTTAATAAGCAATATTTTTGAGATAAACCAGTGTTTAATTCAACAAACGTTTACTCTGATTACTCAAACTGGAGAGAACTGGAGATGAACTTTCGTTAGTAATATAGTCTAACATCGTTAAGTTTAACCTGTCAACTAATGTAACGATAACCTTCAGGCGACTCAAACAGGAGAGGACTGGAACTGAACTGATAATATAGACGACGAAATATGATATTTATAACGTTAAGGATTATATTCTGAAATACTGAGTTTTTAAAATAATAACAGTATTATTTTCCAAACTTCGAGTGTTGAAATATTTTAAGATTGTATAATTATGGAATATTAACAATCAACAAAAATACTGAGAAATAACTAGAAATAATTTTGAAGTGTTATTAACGCTTTAAATCTGTTCATTAAAGCGTTAGCTCAACCTTAGGCCCACTTCATGCACTTCATGTTTACAAATGTAGTAATCGGGTACAAGTAATACAAACAGTAATATCTTTGTTTCTCTTCCATGCTTAACCATGACAACCACTCTTGTCAAGAGCGCTAATGTACGTGAATTACATAACCTCGTGATAATTAAGAATAACTACCGCATTCAGTAATAGTTAAAAAAGCCAGATCCATCATATCAAACACATTTATTAGCCGTTCCTGGTTTTTATGTGAGGTATGAAGTTACACGCTGAATTAAGCTGTAAAAACTGTCCACTTAAAACCAACCGTCTTTATAGGTCCTGCAAACGGAATATCTCGCTTCAAGTTAAGCAGTTAAATATATAGTTCGTCAGCGATAATTTCTCTTAAATAATCAAGGTAATAATAACTGAAAAATAATAAACAGTTCGTTTATGATTACCAGTTTTAATGCAGAAATAGTTTTCTTCTATAGACACGAAAAGATATATAAGTAATACTATTACGATTAAATATAAATTAAGTTATCTAATATTATCCAATACGTGGTCTTGTATAACATTTCAGTTAACATACGAAATATTAAGATATGGTTCTCACACCTGAAATTAATTTTACAATAGAAGATAAATTTGATTAACATGACTTATAACACGCAACACGATACAATATTTAATAAGTAGCTTTTATGAATAATCTCTAAAATGATAATTAATTGCTGTGGCGAGAAAAGCACTATACTGCTTTAGTAGTTAGGTCTTGAGAAACACCACAATACAATACTTCAGTAAAACTAAACATTAAATGTTAGCAATGCACTCTACCTTTATATAATGTCATTATAAAGTCAACTTCTATGTACAGAGACATGTAGCACAGAACACTATTATAACTGGGGCCTTTAGTAACAAATAGTACAACGTAGTACGTAGTCGTGTAATATTGTATCTCTGTTGAGTAGTACAATGAGTAGTAATTGCTGAGAAGAAACATAATACAACGAGTAGTGATGTAACTAGTACTTTGAATAAATTATATCACATCCTAATATTACAATGTGCAGTTCTAATAGTAAACTATTTACAAAAAGTAGACATAAATGTCATCTAGTTAGTTTTACTTCACAGACTAAAATAATTTAGATTTTAAAAAATCAATTTAAATAAAACATTGACAGAGAAAAAAAAATCAAGCATCGATTTTATAAAGTTTATCACAAAAAATGGCTGTAATAATAATTGGACGTAAACAACATGTTTGAAGATAATAGCAAATCTAGAACAGGAAATCTTGTCTTGTAATAATTGGCAAGTTTATCATAAAATTCCTGTTATCAGGTATTTTTTTTATCGAAACGAGTAATATGATAGCGTATACTGTTACCAGGTATTAGACACCAAGGCTATCTGGGTAGACTTTGCTCTGGTATTAATGGCAGGAAATACGCTTCGTTGTTTAATATTACAGATGCATGGATAAATTGCTTTAAAATTAGGGCATTTGTACTTATAAAGTTGCACTAAGAAGAAGGTTGTGCTTCATTATGTCGGAAGTATAAAATTATTCTGAGATATTTAGTTGCATGGAAAATGTAAAACTTGAAGTTTGACGTTTCAGTTGGTTAACATTATACATGAAAGAGAAGACATTCAAACAAAGATGATCCCGAGGGATATATATATACATATACATATAATACTCACAATATTTACACATCAACATTTGTTCTGTAATTTATATTTTATTTTTCTATTTATTCCACTTCAAGGTTGATGAAAAGAATGGTATGGATAGTTCTTGTGAATAGTAAATACGAGCTTTAAACCACACAAGCTCTTTCGACAGATCTAACAGATTTTTTTGCTGCTAAATAACGTGAAATTGTTTTAATAAAACGACAAATTTAACTATACATATTTACACCAAAACATTAAAGCTCAAAACGGCTTTAAAATATATTCTCAATTTTAACTACTTTTTGAAAAGAGATATTAATACTACTTAAAATTATTGAATCATAAAAGAGAGATCGTTTGAGCAGATCGTGCTGTCATTTAGATAAATTTCGGTTTCCTGTGTTTTAAGTTGTGATTTAACTGTCATTTTTATATTGGCAACGCATTACATATAAAAAAATGTAATTCATCACTACCATTATAAATGTAAATAAATACAAAACTCGTGTTCTTACGCTATTTTTAAATAATATAAAAACGTTATTTACACAGAACTTGATGAGTGTGAATTAAGTGTATCTTTATATTGTTATTTAAGTCAAATGAAACTACAGTACCTGATTTTATTATTAAAATATGCAAATTATGTACTATGAAATATTAATCGTTATTACCTTCGTGGTTGAGGAATATTACTTTTTTCCAGTATACGGGAATCGCCAGCTCCTGTGCCTTTTTCTGTTGTTCCGCTGACTGGCATGTTGATAACCATAAGTTGGAACTAGGTGCGACATAAATAGCCCTTACATGGCTGAATAGACAATAGTTAACCTTAATAGAACGACTTACTGTTCTTCAGTACATTTGTATGTTTATGTGTCCACCTGGGACGTATGCACTGCACTGGCTCGGTTCAACTTCGCACTTTCATTCATCGCCAAGTACACATAAACACAACCCAAAGGTGCTGCACTCTAGCGGAGAGCCTTCACGTGACAATTTTGTTTTTCTGTTGGGGCCACGCACGACCCTCAAACGGGTTCTGTTCGAGTCGAGTGACATTCTTAGTGACTTTCTTAAATAGAAACTGTTGAGGCAATAGAGTCAAAGTTTTCACTATAATAGAACAATCACGCACATCGATTTTACAGTCTATATATTAAGTCCTCAATTCTAGTGCAAAGATAATAGAGTAAAAAATTTCAAGACTGCAGCTAACAGTTTTCAAAGATAGCAGGTGGCTGCGCCGCATGATAACTTTTCTTTAATCTAATATTGATTATTGTGCTGATACAATGAAACTAGATTTTAATCAGTAGTTTTTTTCAATGCTAGGTTTCTAGAATTTATCTACATTTCGAAATACATTTGGAAAGTTATCAAAACTACGGACACAGGTATTTGTTTATCATACTTCATGTAGAATAAAGACTTTAAATGGAATTAACGTTTGATAAGAAGTTTGTTTGTAATTAAGCATAAAGCTACAAAATGGGCTCTCTGTGCTCTGCCCACCACGGGTATCGAAACCCGAATTCTAGCGTTGTAAGTCCGCAGACATCCCGCTGTGCCACTGGGGGGCTTGATAATGAGAAGGCTGATATGTTCTAAATATTTCATCTTGGTTTATGTTTAATAATGGTTAAGTTAAGGTTTTTCTATGTTTATGAAAGATTAAATATATTTGTGTACCGAAAAAGCATAACAATGGACTACTCTACTGTACATGTGTATACACAATACTTTTAGCCATGAAAGCATACGTAATCTTGTGACATTTTTAGTTTACTACTCTTTAATTTTCTCGTTTGGTGCATAACACCTACTGATTGATATGTAAAAGCTCGTCAAAAATGACGGGAAACCATTGTTAAATGATTAACGGAAATTAAAGAATTTAACTAAAACCAATTTGTCTGTACTTCCAAAATGCACCAACTTTTTCACTTATTTCATCAATCTTGAAGTAATTTTGTAATCATCACATTTTTAGTAAAAACTACGCAGAAAAATTAAATGTTATTGTGAACAAAAGTACGTGTGCACTCTGAAAGAGACTTAAATAGCACTTGTGAGCCTTTTCACTGTGTTTTCAACTCTTTCGACTGTGCAAAGGATAAAAGATATTTGGTAGTAATAAACATTTATTTTTCTTTATATTTTAAGGACAAGTGAATAATATATGTGTTAAAATACCAAAATAATATTTATTAATCAACATTTATTCACCACTTTATACTTTTTAAACACTGACTCTATAACGTTATTAAATGTATGCCTATTTGTTGTCTAATTTAATATATAAACGTAATGTAAGGCTTAGCTGAAACACTACTTGGTAAATTTTATTTTGCTTTCGACTTCAACTCAATGTCATAAAACTTCTGAATTAAACTATTTTACTGTTATATCACCGAACTTGTCAAAAACAATGAATGAAAAAAGAAACATTTCTAAAAAATCAACATGAATATTGAGCATTCAACATAAACACCATAGTTGGCTTAAGAACAATCATGTGATTGTTTTGTTACTAAGTGACGATGTATATTGTTAAGCATTACCGAAAAAGGAGCGTGAAAGCGTTCTTTTATAGTTAGTGATAAGATGTAGTTTATTTTATATTTTTAAAAGTTAGTTTCATGTTTGATAAAACCGAGTACTTTTAGTCTTTCAAACCGAAAATACTGTATTATCAAGAACAACAAAACTTCAATATGCAAAAACTAAGCAGGTATGATAAAGCTACCTTGACCAGTAGCCACCATCCTGAATCTGATAATGTGATTGGTGACAATCTCGAGGAAATAATAAAATTAAAACTTATACACTTTGAGTTTCGAGCGCTGTGGCCTAGTTTTATCGTAGCGTTATAGAACCCTTGACAGAAATCAAGTGTCGTTAATAATGTTTTGTGCTCTCAACAAAAGACATATGGTTTGCTCTGATTAACAAATGATGCTTATTGGAGGTCTACTGTGCTCCAGTTTTGGTTTACACTATTAAAGAATATAAATTTCATCTAATAGATTCTACAAATTTCTGGTTTAATTTTGCACACTAAAGAGACACTTTAGTAAATGTTAATGTAAATAACATGCAATGAAATACCTCAGTTCAAACAAATACCCATAAATTATTATTGTTACAAACAATACAAATAAGACAACAGAGAAGATTAAGATAATCCGGCTTAAATGTTCAACATTTAGTTTGATAAATCTCTGTTTTGATAGTTGTTCTACACAACAGTGTTATGAATATTCTTCATTATTATCACGATAGTTGTTCTACAGGCAGTCGTTTTGAGTTTACTTACTGATTCATTATTCTTTTATTACAAGTTAAAGCTTTTACATTAAGGCAAGTTATTTTTAGAATAGGTACGTCATTTCGGTCACTGGTGCGATCTTTCTCAAGTACGCAGGTTGTAATGATAAAGAAGGTTTTAGTATTTAAATGAATTAGTATTTGTATTGAATTTTATGAATTAGCTTTGTACTGTCAGTTATGGTTCGATTTTTAGTGGAACGCTTCGTAAGAAACTGTAAAGCGAAACGTTGAGTGTCCAATTCAAGAAAAATAACGCATTTTGGTGTTTTAATATCATTTAGTTTGTTTGTTTTATAATTAAGCACAAAGCTACACAAGCTGTGCTCTAACCACCACGGGTATCGAAACCCGGTTTTTAGCGTTGCAAGTCCACAGACATACCGCTGTGCCACTGGGGGGCGATATCGTTCATTTCTAGAGTTAAAATAAATTTTGTACGCCAATGTGCACTGCAGAAATTAAATAATAAATCAAAAGACTTGTACTAGTAACTATTATTGTAAACATCTAACCTATATAAAAGCCAGCGTGTGTCTCGTCACGACACGCTTGATTTCTCGAAATAGGAGGAGTCATAAAGACCAAAATACATTTATCCAGATAGAATAGTTCGATTACTGTCTGCCCATTACGATTTTAGTGGCGTGTGCAAGGGGGCCGTGAGGGGGATGCACTAAAACCTTATAAGTGTAGTGAGTGTTAATATAATAAGCCTAAAGTAAAAACGTAGTGTGGGATCACCTAGCCTAGAGCCAAGTGCAAAAATTTTGATTCAATTTTAAATTTAAATCGATTCTGAATTAAGCTTTTTATGTTATATCACCAACGTTTTTAATAAAAAACAAATCCCTTTAATCAACTGAGACTTTAAATTAAGAAATCAACAAATATTTTTCCAGTTTTGTTGCCTATACATTTCATTCTATACTTTCAGTACATAGACTAACAAGAATATTAGGTTATACTTTTGTTGTTAAGCAACATGACATAAAAGCTATTGTTGGATCGTATAGTGTTACGCACTGGCTTTTCTATATATTAGAAGTTGTTAATCTGACTGATTTTTACCGATATTTATTCTATGAATACGGCACGAAATTAATTTCGTGAATAATCTTAATTTTGGTTGGCTCACTGCTCCGACTGTACTTTTTTACCTCTTTGTTGGTCAAGCTTGATTTCGCAAAATTTATGTTATTTCAGTTAGCTACGAAATGTGACGTTAGGATATACTATTGGGTGGGGTGATGGTACTTGCCCGTTATTTTTGACGGGCTATATGCTAGTTGTTTAATATCACCTTACGTATGTTCTACAGACTGTTGTTGTAAAGGTTACATAGACATTGTAGTACTTCTTCTAGCAACTACTGTTGTAGACATTGTTTATTATCTTCATAGCGTTTGTTCTACAGACTGTTGTTGTAAAGGTTACATGGACATTGTAGTACTTCTTCTAGCAACTACTGTTGTAGACATTGTTTATTATCTTCATAGCGTTTGTTCTACAGACTGTTGTTGTAAAGGTTACATAGACATTGTAGTACTTCTTCTAGTAACTACTGCTGTAGACATTGTTTATTATCTTCATAGCGTTTGTTCTATAGACTGTTGTTGTAAAGGTTACATAGACATTGTAGTACTTCTTCTAGTATATACTGTTGTAGACATTGTTTATTATCACCATCGCGTTTGTTCTATAGACTGTTGTTGTAAAGGATACATAGACATTGTAGTACTTCTTCTAGCAACTACTAACAACCTATTTCTACAATGAAAACTCTTTACTTCGAATACTGTATCCAGTCCAATTACTATTTGTATAAGGAAAGCTAACGGTAAATACGCGTTTTAATTCTAAACATCGTACGAAAAAACAGGTAATGTCAAGTTGTTGTTTTAATATTAATATATAGTATATCATTAATGTAAGCATTTCTAGACTTTACAAGCTCTGGATAACCAAACAACTAGACCAAAGATAACTATTGGGAGGTAGAAACACATACAGGAGATAACATCGATTTTAATGTATGAGCATGACTTTTAGTTTTGCCATCCCCATAATCTATGACTTTCCACGTTTTTTACCTCATCAAGCACTTTGATATTTATATCAAGTAAAATTAACAATACAACTATGTAATTATCGTTAATTTTTTAATATATCACTCGTTTCAAGAGGTTATTTTAGAGAAAAAAAAAGTTCTTTTTCACGATAAATCCGTCGTTCTAAGGCAGTTGAAATGCTTCATTTATCTCAGCCATGTTAGCTATTTTATACGTTGTCAAAGTAAGCTAGATTAAAACGAATAATTTCATTTCCTACTTGAATTCTATCTCTTTTTTTTTTACTTTTAATACAATGTTATATAGAAAAGTCTTCGTATCCATGAATAAATTGTACTTTCAGAAAAACATATTGCGTATGTTTTGGTATTAATAAAAATTGTCACATAAGTTACTTTTTAAAAATTGAATTCGATTTAGAAAATTTAGATAAATGTTTAGTGTTGTGACAGAAACCAAACCAAATGTGTTTAAAACTCTTACTTGTTAATGAAAGAAAGCTTAGTTTGGCTGATGATT